TGTGTGTGTGTGTGTGTGTGTGTGTGTGTGTGTGTGTGTGTGTGTGTTTTGAGGGGAAAGGTGAGGCAAGACAGCAGACAAAGGGAGAAGAAGAGGAATGAAAGGGAAAGATGTGTTATGGTCAGACCTATACTACAGGAAAATAATTTTGGCAGCTGAGTGGCTGCAATAGCCTTCTCATTGGTTTCCAACCCAGATTTATGTATACTTAGCCTCTTTTCTACTATTTTAGGGGTCTATAAAAATAGAATTATTAAGTATAAGTGTATAACTACTATTTTAATGAAATATAAGAAGTTCATTCCTTTATGTTGCATAAGCTCAAGCAAAGTATCCAGATTCAGATTATTATAGAATGCAGCATCCATGTTTCAGCACGTGTTATAGGCTGTTTCTTCTTTTAGGTCATCAAACTAACACAAATGTCTGCTTTGTTACTTTGCAGAAATGTTGGAATCCAACAATGTTATCACTTTCAATGGCCTGACAAACAGCTCCAGTTATCATACTTTCCTTTTGGATGAGGAACGGAGTAGGTTGTATGTTGGAGCAAAGGATCACATATTTTCATTCAACCTGGTTAATATCAAGGATTTTCAAAAGGTATTTTCATTCTAATATATGTACTGGAGTATTTAAGCGAAGTCACTAAGATGGAATAATTGAAGTTTTCAATTCTAAGCTTAGGAAATGTCAAATTTGGTTTAATCTTATGTGGCTATTTGATATCATAATATCACAGAATTTAAGAGTTAGAAGGAACTTCAAGGTCAACTTCAGGGTCATAGACCAATCCATTCCCCAAAGTAGTCCCCACTATAATATACCCGACATTCGGTTGTCCATTCTTTTCTTGAAGATTGCCAAAGAGGGGAGCCCCTCACCTCCCAAAGTGTCTCATTGTGTTTTTGAGAGTTATAATAGTTAGAAAAGTTTTTTTTCCTTGACATCAAGTCTGAAATTACCTCTTTGCAACTTCTATCCATTCTGACCTTTATTCATTTATTCTAATGTATATATGTTTGTATGTATACATTTTGCTCAGTTGTTTTTGTTCAGTTGTGTCTGACTCTGTGACTCCATTTTGGGGTTTTCTTGGCAAAGATATTGGAGTGGTTTGCCATTTCCTTCTCCAGCTCATTTTACAGATAAGGAACTGAGGCAAACAGAGTTAAGTGTTTTGCCCAGAGGCACACAGCTAGTTAGTGTTTGAGGCCAGATTTGAACTCATGAAGATGAGTCTTCCTAACTCCAAGTCCAGTGTTCTATCCACCACACCACCTAACTGTCTTATATGTATGTGTGCATACACATTCATATGATGCATAATAGCTGTTTTATGATATAAATTTTACTATCATATTTTAAAAAGCTATTAAAAGCTCATGTTTTACTATTCATGACTAAGTTAACATGACATGAAAACATCTGAATGAAAAGTAAAGAATCCATTTTTGTCTTGCAGAACCTATCAGCATTTCCATTTGATGACTCATTCATTTTGTATCATGTGATCCACTCCACTTTCATGACTTATAGTTTGGTAAACCAGGATAGAATTGACACGATAGGGGGAAAATGACACTATTAAGTGAATGAATGAGCTGTGCTTTAAGCTAACAGTTCTATAACAGTCAGTATTTCCAGCTTTAGTTCTCTGAAACATAAAAATGACTTTAAGAAAGCCTCACACAAAGGTCATATTACGGTACATTTCTAAGAGTGAATTCACTGCAGTGTTTGAATGTGTGGGTGTTGATTTTGCTTCTTTCTTAACTCTGAGTGCTTTAAAATGGTGTGCCTCAGCTCCTCATAAACGATAATAGATTGAACACTAATAAAATGGTGACAGATTGGTAAAAGCTTTTTACTCTTGATGGAGAACATTACTTTCAGTAAAAGTTGTATAGTTAAATTCAAAGCTGATGTACATTCTCAGAGAGGAAGATATTCCAATTAAGACATATACTTTTACATTTGCAAAGAGCTTCCCCAAATACTACTATACTGATTAGGTTCATAAAGAAGTTTGATTTATTACAAATCAGCGTGAAAGAAATTGTAGTGTTTTCATTTTCTTTTAATAGTTAAGTGCTTTGAAAGACATAACAAGTAAGATTCTGGGTATTTTTTCCCCTGACCTTTTCTTCTGACTCTAGGCCTCCTCAGATGATAGAAATAAATACTTTGTGTCTTCTTTTCTGGAAGAAAACCAGCTTCTTCATTTGTAAACTGAATCAAATGGATTAACACATTTAAAAAAAATCTTCTTGTAGGAAATACAAATGCAACACATTTTGTATATTAATCCCAAAAGTAATTCAAATTTTATCAAGTAAAGCATCTATAAGAATTAAGAAAATTGTCCTGAAACAATTTAAATAACTATCTGGTGTTGGCAGATTATGCTTTATAACATTTTTTTCTTCATTTTGTTGAATTTTATGCCCTACCTTCTCTTTAAAATAAAAAAAAAACACCTCTAAATGTATACTTAAAAAATTAAAAATAATTAAAAATAATTTAAGGAGTTACACTTAAATTACATTAAAATTTAAAAAAAATTAAAATGAAAAATTACCTCTAAACCTATACTTGGTCTTCTTTAGCTTTTCATTTCTTATATTTAAATAATTTGTTAGGTAGGACAGTGACTACAGGTGATGAATTTTGAGTCAAGATGGTCTGAATTCAAATTCCACATCAGACAGTTTGCTCCTAGTTTTGTGAACCTCAGCGAGTCATTGAACCTTGCTCAGGCAAAGTTTCCTTATTTGTAAAATGCAGATAATAAAAGTATCTACTACTCAGGGCTGTGGTAAGGATTAAATGAGATAACATTTGAATAGTGCTTTGCATATCTTGTTTTACATCTATGAGTTGTAAACTCAGAGAGTTCTATTTTGAATGATTTAACTAATATTTCTAACCAGATTTTATGCTGATTATACAATGTTGATTACAGGGTGGAAAATGCAAATTATTTAAGATTTTCCAACTGTTTTTTTTTCTCTTTTATATTATATGCTCTATGATTAAGTCAGAAAGCAGATTTTTCATTACTAATTTAACCTTTGGAGCAAGATGAGAATACACTGAGATGATAGGCATTTTCTTAGTGGCTTATGGGACAGTCTAGACAAGGAGTGGGGAACCTGCAGCCTAGAGGTCACATGAGGCCCTCTAGGTCCTCAAGTGATGGAATCATATGTTCTGTGATGTTTGGTTTCAGTCAAGCAGCTGTACTTGAGGACCTAGAGGGCCACATGTGGCCTCTAGGCTGCAGGTTCCCCACCCCTGGTCTAGCCTTTTTTCAGTTGAGCTTTCCTATGGGATATATGTAAAGAGAAGGGGTGAAAATAGAGCAATAGTAACTTCCTTTCTTGGAACACTGTGCCTGTTGTTATGAAATTGGAAAGGTTTTTCTGGGTGGAGTTGGTCTAAATATGATCCTTTTATGTTATGACCAAAATTAATGGAAATCTTATCCTTTATTGGCTTAAGTATCTCGAATCCTCAAAGCATAGTTCTTAATAAGGCTTCTTGAGGTTCACATGCTTTGGCTAGACTGAAGGCAGGTGAAAGGAAAAGAATCACTAGGTAATTAGCATATCTATACTACTCTGATATCACCTTCCCAGGGTTTTCCCTCACCAAGATCTTTCCTAGTTTATTCCTTTGTACTTATCTCTTTCTCCTATGTATCATAGTAATGTGTGTATCTGTCCTTTTATTCACCTTATTACAAGTCTGCTTAAAAGTAGGATTTGTGCCATAACTATCTTTGTAATCCCAGAAATGGAACTAAGATATTTCGATTCATTAATTGTAAAAACTTTCATTGTCTGCCTACTACTGACTTAGGTGCTGTAGGGGATGAAAGTCAGTCATTAAGCAGTCATTAAGTGCCTACTGTATGTCAGAACTATGCTAAGCCCTGGGGATACAAAAAGAGGCCAAAGACAGTCCCTGCCCTCAAAGAATTAGATGAACAAAATCTCATAGCTCCTCTTAAGGAGTTGAATGTCTGGAAAGAGAGATAAGAAATATACTCATCTAGAACTGAGTTCTTGCACTCAGAAGAACCTCCCCAACCCCCTTCCCCTACACTGTTGTCTCCAGGTGTTATACAATCTCCTTTCTCTCTTATGGATTTAAATTAGTTGCCACTTTAAGGTTTCTCTTGGGTGATAGTATCACTGCCCTTACTGTTGACTGTGGCTCCAGAATATTTAAAGCTGGGTGTGTAAGAGACACTGACCCTCAGGCTGCTTTCTCTTCCATTCTGAGATGCCCCTAGCATCTAATTTGATGATTGGTATGACCCTGAAAGACAGTGACATGGAGAATAAAGCACAGAGCCGTAAAGGTATTGTGACCTTGACATCACCTATTCAATGTATTATTGTCTCAAATTAGGAATAGATGGCAGGAAATCTGTCACCATGCTTTCTTAAGTGAGCTCCACTGTAGATCACCCTGTGTTACTCATAGAAGCCACCTTCCAAAAAGATCTCTAGAGCCAATGGGGGAGAGGGGGAGAATGATATACATGCCCATCTGATGCTCAAGACCTTCAGTATTCTAACCATGAATGTTGTCATTCAGATTGTGTTCTCCCTGTTTATCTTTGGTGGTACCATTGGCATTGTGATGGTATGACCCACACTGTGCCCATATATGAAGATTATTCCCATCCCCATACTATCCTTCTTGGAATCTTCCTAGTTGTGATCTGAGGGATTAACTCATAAAGTTCCTAAGGGAAACTACAGCATCTCTGACACAGTAGGATGGCAAATTGTGTGTGATGCAAAAGAGAAGTTGTGTTGTGCTCCTGTCCTAGATTTTGAGCAGGATCTGACCACTGCCATTTAGTTCTTCTGTAGGAAAGAGCTACAAGCTTCCTGCGGGTCAGGGCATAGACATTGTCAATAAGAGGTTCAGAAATTCTCTTCCAACCATCTTTATTGGGTATGGAAGTTGTGGTTTCCATGAAAACACTTTCAACTCAATTATGAAGTTTGATATTGACATCCATAAAGATCTGTATGCCAAAAACATACTGTCTGATAATATTGACAGGATGCAGAAGAAGATGCATTGTGCTGGCCCCAGCACAATAAAAATTAAGAGCATTGCCCTGCACTCACACAAGTACTGTATTCTGGAAGATTCAACAGCTGTGGTTTAGCAAACAGGTGTGTTGAATCAGCATCCATTGTTAAGGGCTTTTAAAGGGTCCCCTCAACTTGTCTTTTTGAGTTGTGGTATTTTCCAGAAACACTGGACCGAGAGCATGCAGGAGGCCCTGAGTATATCAAGGACAAAGCCTCACAGTTAACATAATTTGTTGTTTGAACCCCAAGCTGGGTTCTCTGTGTGTCCTTGGGAGGCAAGACAGGTGCCTTCCAGTCTGTGCCAGGCTGGGAAAATGCTGATGCAGCTGAGGTCCTTTGCTATCTTCATAATCTAGTGGTTTCCAAGGGAAAAGAATGAGGCTTTTGTCATCTCCATGCTCCTTTCCTTCAGGAGGGGTTTTGCCCTCCCCCCCCCCTTTCCCTTCCCATGCTATGCCCCTTCTATTTCTCCTTTTGTTGTAT